GGTTTGGCACTTCCCAGAGGAGCTTTAAAGGACTTAGCACCTGAGCAAAGGTAGACCTTAGAAAACTCTTTTTTTTTTTTTTTCTATTTCTGTCACTCCTGCACTCATTTTCCCTTGTGAACGTTACAGGTTTGGTTTTTTCCCCAATCAAGCCTATCTTTCTTTTAATTGCCGGCAGGCCCCGCAGTTCAGCCCACCACGACAGAGATGTCCGCAGAATCAAAAATGAAATGTTTCTGGCATGCACGTGGCCGCTGAGCTAATGGCGCCGCGCTCCGGAGCTCACACGGGTGCTTTCTCCCCCCAGATCTCCCTTCGAGATCTGCGGGCCACAGCCCCGCTCTCCCCAAGCCCCTGCTCCCCCATTTTTTGCAGGCTGAGGCAGCTTGAGCACTCACTTACAGGTTCCACGAACTCAAACATCTTCCTCTCCTGGACCTCTTGCACCTTGAAGACATACTCCAGGGAGACTTCGTAGAAATGCTGCCGAACCAGGTCCACCTGGCTGTCTGCCTGCAAGTGCCGGAGAGATTAAATGGGAAATACAAAGTCACTACAGACCGGGACCGCTTGGCCTTGTGACTAGAGGACATCTGGGTCTAATGGGAACTTGCCCTTGCAGAACAAATTCAGCTTCAGACCCCAGTCCAGGGCTGGACAGATGGCACAGCGATTAAATATAAACCTGATTCACATGAACAGCCTCTTTCTTCAGCTGAAAAAAATGTTTTTGATGACTCATGTTCTCACCTCCCTGACAGCTGTGTAGAAAAGCACGCATTAGAAGCGAGAAAAATGAGAAGTTGCTGCATACTTGACAATAAAAGGCAATTCTCCACTTTCTGGAAAGCACCACAACGGGAGACTGCCCGGAGCATCCTGGGGCCGAACCAGGCAGTACACGTGCCCCACCACCCTCTCCAGCAAGCGTGTCACTTCAGTGGATCAGCAGACAGCAAATCCCCTCTGCTTTGCAGGTAATGCCCAAGTGAGGAAAAATAGGGATATGGCCCAATCCCAGCACGTAAAAATAACCTTGCCATGCACGCGGAGCAGAGCTGCTGCGCTGGAAGCGGGGTGAGGGACACGGGTATCCCCAGGCTGCCGTCCCCAGCACGCGTTGCTGCTACATTTGCAAGCGACACTTTGTGTAGAGCAACCTGGGCGTCACCGATGCCAGCGGTGCCCACAGGGAGGTCGGTCTGGGTGACCCACCATCCCTCTGACCTCAGCACCAGTAAACTCATCTGGTCGAAGAGGCTCACCCCCAACACAAGCCGCCATCGAGTCACTGCTCAACAGGAGGCAAATTCCTCTGTCCTGACTGAGGACGACGGGGTGCCCTTGCCAGCGTGACCCTCGCTGTGCCCAGGGCAGAGCCGGACCTCCAGGGAGGAGGATACGCTGTACCATACATCCCATCAGGGCTCCCACACTCTGCAAAACCCAGCTGGCAAATACCTGCTTGCATTTGAACAGCAGCTTACTCCTGATTTTGTGTGTGACACAGCTGTGAAATGGCCCATTTTCCCCATGACCTGCCACCAGCATTTGTGCTGCGTGCCCATGGTGAGCAGGCTGAGGTATTTAGCAAACTGAGTTCTGAAAAGCAGAAAATATGATGCAATTAAATAACTTCGCCAGGAGTTTAACGGCAGATTAGACTCTGTGTGTTATTTAATTGGTCAACAGCCAAAGCAGAAGAGAATTCCCATGGTTTCCTCCTCTCCCCACCTCGCCGCAGCCGTTGCACATGTGGCCGCTATCACCCTCCAGATGTAGACACCAAGAGGAGGTTAGGAAATATAAAACACTAAATCTCCTGGACACAAACACTCTTCCCTTAGGACATCAGGGCATCTAGTGAAGCTTCAGACTGCTCATGAACGGGTGGTGGTAACTTTCCTAAAACGCTACCATCCCATCAGCACCTTTCCCACACACATCTGCTGTGGCTGCGGTCCCCTGCCCAGAAAGCCCCTTGGCAGGCAGGGACTACGGCGGGCAGCCCCAGGGGAGGTGCCGGACAGGGCGAGCACTCCCACGTGCCGCTGGATGCCACATCCACATTTCACAACCTACACGCTGGACTGCTCTTTCAAAGGCACCCCCTCCTCGGTGGAGCTCGAGCCACCAAGACCAGTGTATGCTTCCTAGTGCCCCAGGGGAAAAAGCCCCAACACCTGAACTTGGGAGCCGGATCCAGCTGGCTCCAGCCTCCTGCCTTCACAGCAAAAGCCGAAGTCAAAGTTTGGGGTGGAAAATGCCAGCAGATGGCACCAGCCGCCAGCGCTGCTCAACATGCACCGGCAGCTGCACCCCGCACCGCATCCCGCACACAGCCCCCGCCTGCACCCCGCCCCGCATCCCGCACACAGCCCCCGCCTGCACCCCGCACCGCATCTCGCACACAGCCAGGGCCTGCACCCCGCACCGCATGCCGCACACAGCCAACGCCTGCACCCCGCACCGCATCCCGTACACAGCCACCACCTGCACCCCGCACTGCATCCCGCACACAGCCCCCGCCTGCACCCCGCCCCGCATCCCGCACACAGCCACGGCCTGCACCCCGCACCGCATCTCGCACACAGCCAGGGCCTGCACCCCGCACTGCATCCCGCACACAGCCCCCGCCTGCACCCCGCACCGCATGCCGCACACAGCCAACGCCTGCACCCCGCACCGCATGCCGCACACAGCCACTGCCTGCACCCCGCACCGCATGCCGCACACAGCCACTGCCTGCACCCCGCACCGCATGCCGCACACAGCCAACGCCTGCACCCCGCACCGCATCCCCCACACAGCCACCGCCTGCACCCCGCACCACATCCCGCACGCAGCCACCGCCTGCACCCCACAGCGCATCCCGCACACAGCCACGGCCTGCACCCCGCACCGCATCCCGCACACAGCCAACGCCTGCACCCCGCACCGCATCCCCCACACAGCCACCGCCTGCACCCCACAGCGCATCCCGCACACAGCCAACGCCTGCACCCCGCACCGCATGCCGCACACAGCCAACGCCTGCACCCCGCACCGCATCCCCCACACAGCCACCGCCTGCACCCCGCACCGCATGCCGCACACAGCCAACGCCTGCACCCCGCACCGCATGCCGCACACAGCCACTGCCTGCACCCCGCACCGCATGCCGCACACAGCCAACGCCTGCACCCCGCACCGCATGCCGCACACAGCCACTGCCTGCACCCCGCACCGCATGCCGCACACAGCCAACGCCTGCACCCCGCACCGCATCCCACACACAGCCACCGCCTGCATCCCACCGCCCTGCTGCTCCGGGCTCCTGGACAGCCCCACAGGGCCATACTCTGGCCAGGGCACGGGATCACACCTCTAGAAGTCAATGCTGCAACCTGACAGCCACAAGCGGCTCCTTCCCTCCCCAGAAAGAAATCCTTCCACTCCCATGTCTCAAAATAGTATTTCAAACAGGAACTAAAACAGAGGTTTAAAAGGTTATTTAAAAGCCATGGGAATGGGACTCTCCATCTTCTGGGACGTATGGGTGCTTCCACATGGTAAGTTATTTACAAACCCAGAACACCTATGCAAGGACAAAGCTGGCTTGCAGGCATGTCAACCCTGATTCCTACCCCTCTTCAACCATGATTGGTGGAAGATGATTATTTGTGCCACAGATGTATCTGCTCTCTTGAGTCCCCAACTCTGCTGGGCACCGTACCACCACCTGAGCTATCCCAGTGCCGGAGCCATGACCTGTGCCCACCAATTCCCCCAGAAACGGCTCAGCGACACACCAGCATCATGCCCAAAAGCAAGAACGTGCATCCTGCAGGGACCAACCCAGCCCTGGGCCAGTGCAGGGAATTCCAAACTTAGAAGAAGTGATTGAAAACTCAGCGTACTCATCCAGTAAGAACATTTGGCACAGCAACTAACTACGTGCCGAGTCAGTAATAGGCTCCTAAAGTAGTTTAAAAGCACTAAGCCTGATCACTCCTCCCATGAAGCCCAAAGCCAGTGCAGCCACTTTCAGAGAAGGGAACTAGACATCCGTGATTTGTGCTGGCACAAGGGAAACCTGCAGCAGAACCAGTTCCTTTCTGTTGCACTCTTTAATTATAAACTCCCTCTCCTTTTTGATTGCTATCCATTTTGGGATCTCTCTGATTTTACAGCCAGGAAAACCAATGCTATAAGCTGCGTAAAGCATTCAAAAAGCTCACCACAGTTACTGCTAGACATGGAAAACCAGAGGTTGCTCTCACCTCCTGAAGCTGGGATTCTTTCTTCTTAGAAGACAAGTTTAAGTGCTTTTCTAGGACACCACAATACTTCTCTGTCTCCTTGTCATATTTCTTTTTGGCATCCTACAAAATAGAACAAAAAGTGTGATGCTGAACACAACGGCACTGGGGCAGCCGTGAGGATCCAGGGCATCCCTACAGCATCGTGCAGGACTGCGGGTCCCGGGCCAGAGCTAACCCCCTTCTGCACAGCATGAGATGGGACCAAGGCCAAGGGGCATCAGCTGGAAGCGGGCAAAGCTGCTTTTATCCATGACCATCGGGCAGCTACAGGAAAGCAGCTTGTGCTGCCAAAATCCAAGACTTGGGGGAGCCCCTCCTCTATTCCCAGAGCCCAAGGCCTCGGTAAAACATCCAGGTCCAGGGCTGGCCCAAAGACAACACAGCGAGGAAAGTGCTTGCTAACCAACTAACCAGCACATCGTCACAATTTCACATCCCACCCCGCCACCCCTCGCAATGGCTTAGCCTGTGTGTCACTCAGGACAATGACACAGTAATTTGGCTATTTGTGGCAGGAGCGTTAAAGGAGGATGTCAACCTTAACTTTTCTTTTGCACCTCTCATCCCAGCCTCGCCACCCCGACATGCCAGTACGAAATCCACCACCGACAACTGCTAATAACCAGCTCCTTTCTGAAGCACCCCTTTTTGTCTTTTTTTTTTTAGCTGCACGAACCAGGACAGCCTGGCCGGGCTGGGCTGCACCCCAGCCCCGCCACGGCTTCCGTGCCAGCGGGGAGCTGGGCACACCGCTGCCATGCAAACACGGCCCCGCCGGGCTGGCATGTGCTTCTTGCCGGCAGCAGCAGGTTGTTATAACAACAGGAGAGCCGCAGACAGCGGTTTGAATTTCAGAACAAAGGCAGGAAAGAAAGGGGGGGCCAGGCTGTTTCACAGCTGCCCTCAGCCACACCAGTGCTTCCCTGGGCTCGCCTGTCCTGCCAGAAGCCGTCCAAATTCCCATGCAGCCACCCAGCGACACACCAGGGGTGGGCAGCGCAGACTGGGGGGCTCAGGCGACTGGGAACCCCTCTAAGAAAATACTGATTCTGGTTTGGAGGAAGAAAAAAAAAGTTCGCTTCAACTAGCAGGTGATTTTTAGCCCTTGGCACGTTACTTGGTTGTGGGTGAACTGGGAACATTGAGGCGCTTTCCCAGGAGCTGGATCGTCCCCATCTCCATCCCGCAGCAGCGCGTAGACATTTCCTCCCATGCCCATGCCCAGCAGGGCCCATCCCTGCAGCGCGCCAGGTCCCAGCACGGCCATCGCCACACAGCTCTGGGCTCTGCTCCTGAGCCCAAGCAGGGGCTCCCAGAGGCGACAGCACCTTGGTGCAGCAGCAGCCTACCTTAGCGGCCCCGATCTGCTCCTTGCGAAATTTCTCCAGTGGCGTGATCAGCACCTCGCTGGCATTCTCGATCTACGGGCAAAGACGGCCACAACTCACCTGCTGCCTCCATGCTCCCGCCCCAGCCCCAGCCGGGCTGGCGCAGCCCTTTTGCCCAGCTCAGCCCCAGACACCCAAGCCGCTCAACAGCCTTTCCCATGGAAGCCCTCCTGCAGCCCACAGAAACCCCCACACTTCACCCTCTCCAGCTCTGCGCCGGCTGAGGACCCAGGGGAGGCTGAGGGTCCCGTACCAAACCTGCTCGTCACCCCAGCGAGCCCTACCAGCACCAGCGCTGGCCATTTTCCAACAGCAAGACACCATTACTGATGCTCTTCAAGCGTGCCCCCCTGCCAAGTTCACGCTCCCCTCCCTCTGCTCTCCCCTGCAGCTCTGCCCTGGGCGAGGGAAGGGGCACGGGGGCTTCCACTGCACGCCACGGTGCCCCGGGTGCCACACCACCCACCGTGCGCAGCGCTGCCAGCGGCAGCAGCAGTGCCACCACCCACCCAGCTCCCGGTAGATGGGGCCGTACCATGCGCATCCGCTCGTCCTCCAGGTTCCGCAGCACCGTGGCGAACTCCTGCAGAGACTTGGCTGGAAGGGACACACCCACACGGTCAGCACTTAACATATTATTTTCTTTTTAAATTAAGAGAAAGACTGAACAGGGGCCTTTTGTTTGCTGTGTTTTGGGGGCCTTGGGGGTTGGTTGTTTGGGGTTTTTTATCATCTTTGCTACCTCCTCAGAAAGGTTTCCAGTTGCCTACAAAAGTAACTGGTAGCATAGCATCCCCAGCACCATGTTCCCACCTCCAGAGAGAAACACCGCACCTTCATCTCGAACCTGCCCTACCCAACTGCCGGTTGCTCATCAGCCCTATGGCTCAGCACTGGCCCCAGCCATGCTCGGTGCACGAGTGGCGCCTCACCAGCATGTGCATCGCAGCAAGGGGACTTGGATAAGAAAGCTATTTTTGCTGAGACTGGGCACCCTTTATTGTGACTGGGCACAAATAAATAAGCGAAGTTAAATCAGGGCTAAAGCTCATTTGCTCTCCTGGCTCCAGGTGATGCGCACAATAAGCTCTAAAAGTTCAGCTGGGGCAGAATCGGGATAACATGAAGTGAAGGGCCGAAGCTGCTGCCCTGCGCCATGAGAAGCTCCATGGTGGAACCGGGCTATGGTTGGGAGAGCACTGCCAGACTCTGCACTGCTGGCTGCTGTCGGCACAGTGGGTGCCTGCTGGGTTCTTCGCTCCTGCAGCTGGCAGCGAGGCTGCTGCTCCTCTCCTTCAGATACAGCCCCTTGCGGTGTATTTTGCCACGGCCACATCTCCAGATCCCTGCTCTCCAATGAGAAAGGGCCGGATAATCTAGATGGTTTCAGACATGGGCAATCTTATTCCTTTCCTATCTGGCAGGGCTAGATTTAGGCCAAGAAGCAACAATTGATTTCCTTGGGAAGGCTTTGCTGATGTTGAACCAGGAGAAATATGCCATTTCCAGAGAGCAGGAAAGCACCCCGACAAATTCCCGGGCTCCTTGGCACCCTTGTGTGTGTCTCTCTCCCCCATGCCCTGCTCAGCTCAGGGGTCTGGAGCATGGCTTCAGGGCCACCCACGGCACCAGCACCCAGGACTCACCTATGCAGATCTCATCATCCGTTTCAGCGTCGCCTATGCAGCGGAATTTAAACTCGTTGAGGGAGTCCGCAAACTTGCGTTTGGCTGCCGACAGGTCTGCCGAGAGAGCGGGAGAGGGGAAAACACAGATGTTACAAAAGGAAAAAGCCCACCACAGCTTTTTCCAGACGCGTAATCCCAGCCAGCCAGTCCCCATGGAGAGATCCGTCCAACAGGCCCCGCCCCATGCCAGGGAACCCCCAAGAGTGCTGCCCTTCTCCTGCACCCACCCCAGGGACTGGGCTCTGTGGGGTCCCGGCCAGCACCCGCCAAAATATACTACAGGAGATGAAACCTCAAAATACCGTGAGAACCATGCGGGAGCTCAAGCCCAGTGCCACGGGGCAGTGGCAAACGGTGATGCAGGGTGGCACTGCTGGGGCAGCTCCCACGCTGCCCCCCAAGAGACGGCACCTCTGCACAGGCTCCCAGTCCTGCCGAACGAAGGCACCATGTACGGGCAATAATGCAGAGGTTTATTGCTTTCCAAGCTGCAGATTCTCTCTGAGATCTGAATCCTATTAAGTTCTTACTTGCAGTGACCTGAGCGGATCCAGGATTGGCTTTTCAAACCAGCCCCGTAACCCTGCACATGCAGGCACACAAGCTCCCGGGCACTGCGAGGCCACCAGCTTGGAGGGGAACTTGTACTTGAGCAACGCGAGGGACTGCAGCCATGCAGACGGTGTTAGGAAGATGTAATGCTAATTACCCTGTGCATTTCTTCACTCAAAGTCCAAAAATTCAGCATTTTTTTTCCTTTCCAAGCACAGGTGGAAAACACGCGTGTGCACACAAAGGCCGTTTCCTCCTCTTGGACACCAACAGCCAAAAGATAACCGCAAAAGAATTCAAGCATTTTGCTTTCCTTATGGGATAAGAGAATTTAAAGCTTTCTCCAAGCATTAAAGCTGCTCTCCAAGTGCCTCTGCCTAGAGCCCTGGGGCTAATCCTGCCCACAGCTCAGTCCCGGCTGACTTCACACAACTGGTGCAGCTCACCCCACTCTCCTCCACATACCCGTGCTGCTGCCGGCCGTGGCGGAGCAGCCCCTCTTCCCTCGCCGTGGCAGCCGGAGGGCTCGGGGACTTTAACCCAGTCCCCGGAGCTGGGCAGCCTCCTGCCTCCTCTGGAATAATAACGAAGATGACGTTAATGACTTAAGGAGCCATTTCCTCTCCTCCAGCTCCGTGCTGACCGTCAGCCACCAGCCACGCTCTCCCTGCTGCACACTGTGGCCTCACCAATACCCTGCCCGCATTATGCACGTCACGTCCCCAGCCAAACCAGACCGCATGCCCACCGCCGGCTGGGCAGGACCCTGAGTCAGATGCTGCCCCGGCGTGGAGGCAAACCCCCGGGAGGGAACCGAGCTCCCCTGGCCCCAGGCAGGGTCACCAGCATTCGAGCAGCACCTCTTGCCAGGGCCAGCCCTCCCTGCTGAGAGCGAGGAGGTCGGGGCTCTGCAGCCACCAGGCACGAGCCAGGGCGAAGCCAAGAAGCCTTCAGAGCCGGCGGCACCCAGCAGCAATTGCCCACAGCACTTATAAATAGGCGAGGGAGAGGCAGGGGGAGAAGGAGATAATTCCCAGTGCGACAGCGATAAAGGAGGATCGCTGGCAGCCGCTCGCTGAACGACACGGCCAAGTTGCAGGGGCGAAGCGGATGCTAAAATTAGCAGCAGGCTGGGCCAGGAAAGGAGAGAGGGGGACCCACGCCCGCACCGCATGTCTGGAGGCAAGTGAGGAGCCAGCACGGAGGGGCCCCATTGTCCTCCCTGTGCCACTGTTAGACCCACCTGGCTCTCCTGGCATGCTGTTTTTCTAAAAGCTTGAACCTCTCATCTACATTTTGGGGAAAAAACCTTCCAGTGGAAGCAGCCAAAGCTCCCAGCTGCACTGCAGGCAGGGGGGTGTGGGGAAAGCAGGGTGGCCCATCCGTGGGCCAGCTCAGCTCCTGAGGCTTCTTCTTCCCTAGGGCTGTGAACGAGCAAACCCAAAATCCTACAAAGGCTTGACAGAAACTTCTGCTTCCTCTCGTGCACAAGTAAAACCACCCGGACCCCGTGCATGAGTCACAGCCAGGCTGTGCCAAGGGCTGTGAAAGTTTTGCTTCCAAGTTCTCCGGCTGGCTTCATCAGTCAACCGCAACACCAGGGAATACCACCACAAAGCCAGAAAAATCCTTCTGCCTGAGCAACGCGACCAGCCTGGGGGCTGGGCATCACCGGATGGTGGTCCTACAAGGACAGGAGCCGGGCAGGCTGGGATGGATCCAGGGACACGCAGGTGCTGGCAGAAGCAGTGAGGCTGTAACATGCCTGCAGGGACAGTGCAGTGGCAGCCAGCCCAGGGGTGCCCAGATGTGGGTGTGCAGCCTGCAGCCCTGCTGCCGATGAATCTTTCCTGTGCCCATTGCACCCCGCGGCTGCAGCGCAGAGCACTGAAGATCTCCAGCAAGGAAAGCACAATATCTGGCAGAGGCATCCCAGGAGGTGAAAACAGCCCTGTGCAAGCTGCTGAAACACCGGGATGGCGGGAGGGAAAGCGGTGGCCCCGGCCACTCCAGGGCTGCAGCCACCTCGGGAGGGTCCGGGGTGCACTGTGGAGCCACGTGCCTGCCTGCACCCAGGATCTGAGACAAAACCACACGCAGAAGGCACCGGCCAAGCAGCAGCAAAGCAGATCTCCATTCCACCTGCAAAGCAGCACCCGTGTATGTGCTAACACAGCTGGGGTCCTCTGCCCGGCACACCGCAGTGCGCGGTGACTGCGCCTGAATTACCATCTCCGGTCAAGACACATTGTGCTCAAGTAACAGCTACACGTGCTGTCTGAAGCTGCGCCGTGCCCGCCTGTCCTCCCCTCCGCTCCAACACGGAACCGTCACCGTCCTGCCCCACAGTCCCCCTGCCCAGGACTCATTCCTTTCCCCTCTTCAGGCTGACTGTCCCGCGGGGGGGTTGCTGTCGCAGTCCTCCTCCTCATTGTCACCTCCCATGGCTCCCCAGTCACACCCCCAGACAGGCGGGGACAGGACGATCCCTTCGGGAAAGTCCACTTGACAGAAAACAGGCACACGCACTGCATGCCAGAGGTCCAGCTGCGTAGCTACAGCAACCAATAATCAAAATAAAATGCCCTTTTAAAAGTGATGTATTGGCTCGTTACTGTGATACAGGGTTACCCGCACAACTGCTGAGGGGAGCAGCCCAGCAGTGCTCCCCTTCCCGAGCACTTTCCCTTCCTGGAAGAGGGTTTATGACCTGAAGCAAGTGCAATGGGGGAGAAAACTGCAGAGGATGGGGACGAGTGACATGGAAGGAGACATGACCTCGCAGAAGGCAGAGGTACCGGCAGGGGCCTGTCCCGGCAAGGAGGGAGTTGGAGCTGAACCCTGAGGTCTGATCCCATCTTTCCCGGCAGCAAGTTGGAGAGCAGCGATTGCAGATGGAAGGAGGCAGCTGGCTGCCGGGGACACACACTGGTCATCCCAAAGTGCCCAGCATCGTTTGTCCATCAGCATGGCAAAATTGAGCGGCGCGAAGGGTGCAGGCAGGGGATCTGCCTCTGGGCTGCTCCCTGCCTGCTGCGGCTTGAGCCGTTCCTGCACAACTCCTAAGCTGTAGTTTTGTGAACAGTCTCTTAGTAAATGTTCAGGAGCCAATTTTGGCTGTGACCCTGAAACGCCGCCACTCTGCTCCCACGGCAGGGGATGGAGCATCTCACGGAGCCCTGCCCTGCCGGCACCCAGAGTCCTGCCCCAGTGTGCACCGCGGAGGCAGCCGCTTGCAGAGTCAGAGCAGGGGCACGCAGCGTGTCACCGAATACCGCAGCATCTGTCCCTCGCACAGCCGAGACACGCTCAGCATCCTCACCATCCACCGCAGGAACAGTGCGGAGTGGGGGAAGGCTCCCAGCAGGACAGAGGGCAGCTGCCTGCACCTGGAAGCAGCTCCAGTTAACCCCTTTGCCCATCCCTCCTCCCTCATGCCCGGCTCAGGGGTCAGCCTCCTTTTCCCCTGGCACCCCACATCTCTCCTCCTCCCTCCACCAGCCAGGGAGCCGGGTAATTGCTGGCTGAGGTCCCATCCCAGCCTCACACCTCCAGGCAACGGGGCTCCCTCCAAACCCAGCTGAAGCCGGTGTTACCCCAGCCCGCAGCAGCCCTGCCGCAAGGGAGCACCTCGCGCTCCCACTGTCCATCCGCCCAGATCACCCTGGCATACCTCCTCCTCCTCCTCCTCCTCAGCTATTGAGCCCTAAATCTTCTTTCTGGGAACTGACTGCTGTTACTGCAATGAGACTGAAGTGGTTGGTTTTTACACAAAAAGCCCCTTCCAAAGGAATTTGGAACTATTGAAAAAGGCCATTTATAGAAGAAAGACGTCGTGATTTCACAACTCTCCTCCATGTGTACAGCACCCCAGGCACAACGGGGATGATCCCATCCCAGCCAGGTCCGCAGCCGGAGGGGCAGCCCCCACGCGCAGGTCTCCCCCACGGGCACGCGGCTGTGAGACAGGGCAGCCCTGTTCCCCGGGGCGCAGGCGTCAGATCTAACACGTCCCTGGTTCGGGTGACTCAGCACGCGGAGCTTTGGCCACTTCGGGGAAGTCACTCCCACCAAAGCCCTGCCGCGAGCCACTCTCTCCCGGTCACCGGCTTCCAGCTCTTTCCCCAACTTCATTCCTCAGCTGGACATCTCACCTCTGTGCAACACCCCTATCACCCCCTCTCTTCGTGTTCAGTGTTTAAAACATTTTCAGGCTTTCCCAAAGGGACCACGGAGGTAAAGTGCACTGAAAGCCTGGGCAGACGTACAGGCAGGCAGCTTTTCCCTTAAATAAAAATCCGTAAGGCCCTGAGAAAAGATTGCAACCCCTCCACTTGCATGCTTTTCCTAGCTGGGATGGACGGCTGGGAAATGTGACCACAGGAGGGAACGATATATGACACAGAGGGGAACCATAACACATCAAAACGAGACATCAAGAAGATAGACGTCCCCTCCTGCCCACCTGCTGCCCGGTCCCGCTGCCCACCGGGGAGCACAGCTCCCCAGCC